TCGAGAGTTTGGTAAGTATGTGGTTCATTAAAGTGACTATCCTTGAATGTCTTTAAAATTTCGAATAACTGTTGAGAAGCTAAAATTTCATCTTCAGTTGTTGTCGAGCTTTCAAAGTGAAATTCCATTTGTGTCAAATGAAGCAGATGTTTCACAATGTTCACCAAATTCATTTTTTCAATCGATAAAGTCAATCTTTTCAAATGTTAGTCGTAGTAGAAAATAAGCAGGAACGTTATTTCGAATATACATTTGATTGAAACTTTCGAATGCCAATCACAAAGCAATATAATTTCAAATTATTTATTGATGCGTCAATGCATTTAATTTTCGAATATCTTATATGTAAACACTTCAAATGTAATGCTTCTTGTTTTGAATTCTATACTGTTAAAATTCAATAGAGGTCATAGCTAGATTAATCTAAATAGTGTAAGTAGATCTTATCTTGATTTTGGAAATGCACTTCTTAGCAAATCTGATGATTATGTTAAAAGCTGATGTCGATATTTCATATATTATTATGTTCCAATACTCTACTAATGCACAACTTCAAAATTGAATATCTCTGCTCGGGTAAGCCATCAGCAGCTCATATTTTAAATTCATGAGTTTCTCAGTGAGTGTGATCATTTGCACCCCACGGGGTCCTCCGGCCAGCTTATCAGTACAGACCGTTCCATTGTTAGGCCATATCCACACTCGCTCCCTGCGTGGGTGTGTGGCTGCGGAGAGCGGAGTATATGTTACGGATATTGATGAGTTGAAGAATAATAACCACACGAAACCTTATCTAACACGCAAAAACCCATACCCAGACTGACACGCCCTGATGATTTAATGGTTTCGATTCTATAGACGGTATTTTGAGAACCTAACGGGAACTAGGGTGTAGATGTGGGTGAGGAGTGTGATTGTTGGCGTGGCTTTAGAGCATAGGTGTGGGTGAGGGATGTGGATGTAAGTATCCTTTTCTTGCACATCCACACACCCACACTCACATCCACCCACACCCTTGATGTAATTATTACTGTTCTTATCATTCACACCTACAACCATGGATGATACCAGAAATCTTCGAAACATAAGACATATCGTTCTTCTTAACAGTTTCACCAGCATCCATACTAGACGCAGCCAAGTAGAATGACTATCAAGTATTACTTTGCGATGTGCCGAGTACACCTAGAGTCCTCAGCGCTTCAGTGACAACTATTTCCGATTGTTTAAGTTTAGCAGGAACCATATTAAACTCCTCTACTTCTTTCATTACCGTCTTCATATGAACGTGAATATCGTAACGGATAGAAGGAAATCCATTTTCCACTGCACAAAATTGATCCAGAAGAATGATGTCCATTCGCTCTTGATTTCGAGTTCTAGAAGGTGGATGTGGGTGTGGATGTGAATGTGGATGGTGGGTGGGTATGGATGTGGGTGGGTCTGGGTAGTGGGTGAGTGTGGATGTGAGTGGTGGGTGTGGGTGGTGGGTGTGGGTGATGGGTGTGGTTATGGGTGTGAGTGTCGGTGGGTGTGGGTAGTGGGTGAGTGTGGATGTGAGTGGTGGGTGGGTGTGAGTGTGGGTGGATGTCGGTAGTGGATGAGTGTCCATGTGAGTGGTGGGTGGGTGTGGATGTGGGTGGTGGGTGGGTGTGGATGTGGGTGGTGGGTGGGTGTGGATGTAGGTGGTGGGTGTGGATGTGGTTATGGGTGTGAATGTGGGTATGTGTGGGTGTGAGTGTGGGTGTGGGTATCGGTGTCGGTGTGGGATATGGGTGTCGGTGTGAGTGTGGATGTGGGATATGAGTGTCGGTGTGAGTGTGGGTGTGGGATATGGGTGTCGGTGTGAGTGTGGGTGTAGAGGTAGATATGGATCTTCTCTTCAACAGAACCTATATTCACACCTTTTTTGTTGAAATTTTGCGAAAAGACATTGCCGCTTTCACCATAAAGAGTTGTGACGCCAATTAATTGTAGAGAAGGACCAAACCACATTTATACTTCGTCACCGATTGGGGTGTGGATGTGAAATTAATACCAACACTTACACCCACACTCAAACCCATCCACACAACACCTACCCACACCCCACACCACCCCACCCACCCACACCCACACCCAGCCACCCACACCCACATAGGACTTGAGGATCCAAGGGTACCTCCATAATATAGGACTTGAGAACCTAAAGGTACTCCTCTAATATAGGACTTGAGGGCCTAAATGTACTCCCATAATATAGGACTTGAGGACCTAAGGGTACCTCTATAATATAGGACTTGTGGATCCAAGGGTACCCCTTAATATGCGACTGGAGGACCTGAAGGTACCCCCATAATATAGGACTTGGGGACCTAAGGATATCCAATAATTATAGGACTTGAGGACCCCCAATAACCGGGATAGGTCAATATTCCTATAGAAAAGCACAGGAAATAATGACATTTTGTTGGTATAACTCAGCAATTTCTTGACGAATCATTCTCATCTTCGAACTCGACCGAGATATTGATGAGACAATTCTGTGTGCAAAATTTCAAGACGATCGGATGACATTTTTCAAGAGTTATCGTGTAAACGGACGGACGGACACACTGACCGATTCTAGAGTGTACTCACTTTTTGAGTATACAACAACTATGATAACTACTCTGAAAGTTGTCAAACAGCTTGAAAATTCAAATTTCTAATTTTTTAAGACTTTATATGCTTGTAAGCTGATTTGATTATAGCTGCAACATGAAAAAACTTGATCGCAATAGAAGCCCATGCCAAAACTTATAATTTTCAAAACACAATAGAAACCCAGTGGGCTTCTATTCTGTGGGGGTTTACTTAATTCCAATGATTCAAAAACTTCTCCGATCCCTGGAGGAATAGCAATGACTGGTGTTGCTGATATAAATATCATTCGTGATGTTGTTATGTGGGAAATACGAGGAACAGGAACAGAAATTGGTTATGGTTCAGAAGTTCGAATTTTAGGTGGAAGAATTATTGGAGCTAACGTTCGTTTTGATGAAAATATTGGTATTCATTATCGAGGAAATAATGGTGGAGTTCATGTAGAAAATACAGATGTTATTGGATTAGGAATCGGAATGTTAATTGATAATAGTAATGGGGCTAGGTCAAATCGAGAAATCTTTATAAGTCAAGCAACATTTGATTCCGATGGTCAAGGTTTAGTTGTTCGTGATAGTAGTTATGTATCAATCATTGGTATATGGGTTGTATCATCAACAATTCATCAAGTCTTTGTTGATTATAATTCCACAGCAGTTTTATCAATTAGTGGAGAAACGATATTTAATGGTGGAGTTTATGAATGTCGAAATGTTTCAAATCGGTGTAATGGTATAACAATTAATAGTGGATCATTTATTCTAAATGGTGTTGAAGTACGAAATAATCATGGTCGAGGAATATGGGTAACAAATAAATCTGTAAGACAATTTCAAATAATTTCTTGTTGATTATTTGAAAATGAACAAGAAATGAATAGCAATGGTACTTCATTTATTATATCAAATAATCTTTGTAATTTAAATAATTTACCAAATGTTATTTCAAATACAACATCAGCTTTAGTACAGAATAATCTTAATTGTTAATTTAAGATTTCTACTAGTTTGTTCATCTTTTAATGTAAAATAAAAAAAACGTGATTACAAGAAACAATAAAATCTAATTAATCTTTCAAATAGTAGCAGATATTTCACTTTTTCCTCTACATCCTTCACATGGTAAGCTAACACCATAAGTACCTAAATAAAAGATTATATAATTAACTTATTATTAAAAGTAAATTAATTGAATACCAACATATATCACATACACCACAATGCCATTCTCTCCAATCCATACATTCTTGACATTTAATACAATGCCATTTTAAATTTTCTTGGACTAAATAATCTTGACAAAATGAATAATAACGTCCTGTTGTATCATCATCCGTTAAAAGCATTCGAAATAATGTTTGAGCATGAGCTAATTTTTGATTATTATCAATTATTTTCAATTGTTTCATCCATTCTTCGAATTCTTCTTCGATCTCACAAACTTCATCAAAACTAAAAGAATCAATTCGAAATAATTATAATACATAAATCAAATATTTACTTCGAACATTTGATAATAAGTTGGCACAATGCACCACGATTAATAGTTTTTAAATCATCAGTATTTTTAGCTTTTTTGACGAGCCATTTGGCAAAACAAGGATGAGCAGAATATTTTGTATTTTCACCAAAGAAATATTCCAAATAATTAAACATATTTTCACATGATGAACTACATTCACATGATGAATTACATCCACTACCAAATTTAAAACATGAACAGGAACATGTTGAACATTCTTTTGTACAAGTACATTTGTCCTTTTTTTCTTTATTTGGATTATTTTCTGTTATTTCATCGAATGTACCTTGTTCTTCATCTTCTTCGAAATATTCGTCACTTGACATTGTTCAGTTTATCTTCTTATCTTAAATGATCTCTTATTAACAATTTCTATGGATCGTATACCGTATTACACAGACAACCAATTATTATAATTGGAGGACACTCGTGTCAACGATACTAAATTCTTTTATCGAGAGATGACGCTCGAAATTAATCCTCAAGTCAAGAAATGCAGATATTCAGAAAATAGATTGATGACCTTGTCTTTATGATGCATTTTATTGTCTCTGTCAGGTAAATAATGATTCATTAAAATGTGTAGGACAATAAAAAGACTTTGTCTTTTTCTTCATTTCGGGGAATAAAATGATGAATACGTATATAAAGTCGATATGAAAGTCATTGTAACAAGTTCATTATTAATACATTAGACAGAAGCATGGGTTCATCAACATCATCATTACCATCATCTATCAGAAATTATCCTGTAATTATTAAAGCAAAAAATGGAAAACAATTTTCTATAATGTATCTATCATTCATTAATTGAACATATTCTTTTACTTCGGAAAGTTATTAATCATCCAGAAATGACACAAGAAAGACCGGAATTAAATTATTATATTAAAGATTATTGTAAACGAATGAGTAAAGGAAAAATGAGAACATATGATCAACAAGAAAACCTTCCATGGCAACTTGAATGGATTTGGCATGTTCATCGACTTCATTCATTGGCTTATCTTAATGATTGTAATAAATAACTTTCAGATGAACTTGTTGATAAAAAATGTCCAAAACTTATTATAGATTGTGATAAACAAGATAAGTTAAAGAAATCAAAAAACCTATTTTCATCAAACAACACTAATTTACAATTTATTCCGTCGATTGATTTAAGAAGTGCTGTTATTCGACAAAAAGATTTTAATCGTAGTATTCCTAAAAATAATGAGCGTTAGTAATCATGAGTTGTCGTTAATCGCTTACTGGCACTGAGTAAAGATTGATTTTTAAAAGAAGAAATTTTGTTACAGAATAACATTTTAGATTTTCATTCTTTAGTGTTTATATTTGGATATAACATATATATTTTAGTATGGCTGTAGAAATGTTTCAATTGGACAGTTGATAAACTACAAAAAAAAAATAATACATAAACAACGCTTGTTACTGTTTTGAATAGCACTCTAGAAACTTTTAAATTCTCAAATCCTTCTATTTAACGATGAAAACATTATTTTTGGAACAAAATACCTGTTCGAACGTGTAATTAATACCCTGAACTACCAAGAAACCAACTTCACATTGTAAAAGATTATCGTTTCCTAGAAAATCCACCAAAATAGGTCTCCGAGATCAATTCGAAAACCAAATAGTTTTCCGATTTTGTTACTATCTAGAACCTTTTAAGGATTTCCGAGCACTCGAAAACCTATTTTTTTATCTTGAAAAATCTTGTAAAAATTTCCGAGATCAATTCTCAAACATAATTTGGTTCCAGAATGTTAGAAAACGTATTTTGGTGAGTTTTCTAATATTAGAAATTGAAAATCCACTCAGAGTTTTAATTGAATGTATTGATCTTTCGATGTTATAAATCATATCGTATTGAACCAAATTCTAGTAGATACAATTATAGTAGTTCACAATTTGCAATCATTTCATTTACATTGACATGGTTACAGATATTGTTCATTGATCTAAGTGAAACATAGATTTCATCATTCTTCTCGATAGTTACATCAAAGAACAAGGAAATAATAATTCCAATTTTTAAACTAAAGTTAGTTTTTTCGATCAATTACATAAACTTATGATTAATTTAATTCAAAATTTATAGTTAATATTTTTTCATTCTAGTTTGTACTTTTTAATTGATAGTGCTTTTCAATAATTGCAACAGATTTAGAATTCGAACAGCATCAAACCGTTTGTTTTAGGAATATATTAATATTGGTTTCAAATCGAATAAAGTATATCTATCATTCAATCACATCACAACATAAGTCCAGATTAAAATCAGTTTATATCGACTCTTCAAATTGTTGATACTCATATAGGAATTAAAAAGAAAGAAAAATACATTAGCTAAATTCAAAGATATTAAATTTCAATTTCTGTATTATGTGTCTTTGTAGAATTATATAGTAATCTAATATCATCAAAAATGAAATCATTAAAACATTTGAATTTAAATTTTGAAATATGTGAATGGGAACATAATATGTACAACCATGAAGATTATGTTGATTTGAATTATAAAGAATTGTCAATAAGAAAAAACTCATTAAATAGTTTAGAAACAATTATTATTGGTTGTAAATTATCAAAATTGTATCTTGTTTTTTTTAAAGACATGTATCTAATTTCTTTCACCAGATATTCCTAAAGGTAATCGTGATTATTCAACAACAAGAATATCGTTTTATTCATTGATTGATAAGTTATTACCTTGTCTACCAAAATTAAAGAATTTAATTATAAATTCAATTTATTTGGATGAATCTGATTATCAATATTATCAGCATAAAGTATGTAGAAAATATTCTCATACCTTTTGATTAAAATTCTATACTAAGTTCAATTAGAAAGAGCTGGAGAGAATCACAAGAAGACACGAATTGTCTAACAATGAAAATATTCTTTGAGAATAGTTTCACTAAAATTTTACCCATTTCTTCCTTATAGATATCATTGACAACTCGATACTATTTTTATTTTTTATTATTTCTCTCTATTAAATTTTTCTTTTCTATGATAGAAGTCGTCAATTGAAGGAAAAAAATCTGTTATTCCATCAAATTTAAAAGTAATCAAGATTTGGACCGATATGACTCAGTACAAAGAAGAGAAGAAAAAATTAAAAAAATTGTTACGAAATTATTTTATGAATGACAGTTCATCAGACACAACAACAATTAAAATATTTACTATTAACAATAAAAATGTTTTAAAAGAAAAATTTTAGAACTCGATCTATTGCATTTACATGATAAAGTTTTATATTTGATCTATTATCGGAATTTTAAAAAAAGGTCATCAGGCAAAATGCTTATAAATTTTGAACGAAGATCGCTAGAGCCCTGCAGCTTTCACTATTCGAAAGGGAAGATAAGGGGACGCCTTTTCCTCCAATATTGTATAGGACGAAATCATTTAAAAATCAGTCATTTCTAAAACATATGGAAAAAATGTATAAAAAACGGTCTGTCATTCAGATGAAATTTTGACGAAAAGTAAGAAAATAAGCTTGAAAATTAAAAGAACTCTATAGTTTTCGTGCGATTGAATAGACAAGTTTATTTGTTCAACATTAGGAGGTAGAAAGATAATCTTTCGAATTATATCTTGAACTGTACATCAGAAGTTCCTCTATCTAGATCAGATGTCAGAACCAAAATTTCATCGGAATGACAGATCGTTTTCATGCATTTTTTAGAAATGACTGATTTTTAAATGATTTCGTTCTATACAATATTGGAGGAAAAGGCGTCCCCTTGTCTCCCCTTTCGAATGGTGAAAACCGCAGAGTTCTAGCTATCTTCGTTCAAAAGTTATAAGCATTTTGCCCGATGACCTTTTTTTAAAATTCCGATAATAGTCTTTGTTTTTTGAAATAAACTTGCATTTGTTAATTCTTAAAGGATGAACTATTCTCAGTTTTTTTCTTCATATCTCCCTTTTGAATTCACTTCAACTATGAAAGATAGAATAAAAAGAACAAAAAAACTTGGAACACGTTTTGTATCATAAGACGAAAGTAAAATATTTGTTTCTCTTCCTTTCAATGATATTCATGTTTAAACATTAAGAAAACATGTAGTACTCTTCTACATATTTTTATATATTTTTCTTTCTATCAGATGTTTTTGTGATTAACACATCTAATTTTTAGAGACGATAGAGAAAACACTTCTCAAATCGAATTCTGCCGTACAAAATGTTTGATGATATAGGTTTCATACAGTTTCAAAAAAAAAATTATATGATTGCCATCAATATTCAACTATGTACAAAATTATTTATTTAGTTTTTGCAATGTCAATGTTCGATTTTCTTTATAATTCTGTGACCTACAATTATTCCATTCGAGACATTGAAAAATTTTGAGTTCTGAATTTTTCTAAACAAATTATATCAAGAGTTTGATGTACATATAAAAGACAAAAAAAAAATATTTGAAATCTTAAAATTCTATTGATATAAAAATAGCATGTGTCAAATTATTTAAGTGTTGAAAATTTATAGTCATTTAGAAAAATTGAGAAAATTCTTTGTACCATTATGATTTTTCATATCTAAAAAGTCACGAATTACTGCAGTCCCTTGATTAATGTTGACGAAAAAGAGCGTGGAAAAATGTCAAAACTTGAGCGATGAGTGATATTATCTTTGGAAATACGAATAAATCCGTTTGTTCTCGACTCTTGCTTCTTAGCAATCGACGAAATAAGAGAAAAAGAAAAATGCAGTTTAGTTGTCGCCGTTTGGTGCTCTTTATTAAGATAACATTCATCAAGGATCTGGATTTTTACAATAAGCAAACAATGGAAAAAAATGTACACACCTAGAGAACAGACGCACCCATCCACACTCGCACCATACCCATACCCTCTTTTCTTAAGCTGGACATGTTTATATCAAAGATGAGATTTGGAGATGAAGTCGAACAAATAAGCCCTTGAGATTCAATGAAGACACAGTCCAAAGTACAAATGCATGTGGCTGCCTATAGATTGTGACGTTGATTTGATCAAGATGCAAAACTTCTGTAAGCTGTCTATAATAAAAATACAAATATTATAAATAAAATTTGTCCTTGAAATTGTTTTAAGTCGTCAATAATATTCATATTTCGAATGATGGCAACACTCTATTAAATGCTTATATCGCAGAAGCAATCCTATATTGGTTTTACGACGCTTTTTTTCTTCTATAAAGATTACTTTGTTGGAGAAAAGTTAAGTGCTTAGAGAAAGCAGTGGAGCAATATCAAATTTCTATTTATCGAAAGAACAGATGGTACGATTCTTCACTTTTGGCGAATGCGAAAAACATTATCTCTTCATGGTATATAAAGACGGGTGCTATCGCCATTCTGTCTCATTTTAAGGCAAGCGATGGTTTCAACAATAATTCGTTGTTTCATATTCATTCTATTCAGGTAATTCTAAAATCTGTTTTTCTCCTATTCATCTAATGTTGAACAATCTTCTTTTTAAGCCTTACAGGTTTGATTCTTGTTTTCTTTTTACATGTCCTTCTATTTATTTAGTATTTCGTTAGTTCGAGTGAAATCTCAATTCTGCAATGGGATTGCTCAGTATAATCAATGTTCGTTAAATAGTGCATGTGCCTGTTTCCATATAGCAGGTGCTATTAACACTGGCATTTGTACCGCTAT